TATTCATCAGGAGGAAATCTGATAACATGTCAGGTTTTTTAAATAAGAAAAGCAATGGCAACAAGAGAAAATAAAGATCTGAGGCAGTCTGTGGAGAGCATCTGAATGCCATGACTTGTCTTCGCTGTAATCATCACAGGTTTGCTCACACCAGGTCGGCTGGCTTCGTGAGGCTCGTTTTAATGGCTGCATCGTTTCCGTCATGGATGTGTGTATGTGAGATATGTCAAGGCTGGAGGTGTTCAGTTTATAGTAGAGGGGCAAAACAAAATTGTTGCTGATACTGTAGAAGTAGAAAATGTTAAATTGCAGATCAACTATTAAACAGGAAAGGCCTTAGAGAATGAACCCAAAAGCTGAGGCAGCACTGAGACAAATCAGCAAGGGAGAGACGTCAGCGGAACAAAGAGGGCTGGGAACGGCTCTCCAACACCAGGTCCCGCATCCCTCTGGCACAGCTGCAGGGAGCATTCCCACTGGCACGGTGTCACATTTGCTCTGCTCCCCACCAGCACCCTGCTGCTCCCTCCTCCCGCGATTCCCCATCCTCCGGGTCCTGCCCAAGCAGCAGCGGAGCGAGGGCTCTTCCGTCCCCTCGTGCCCGTGGGGGAGTCGACGCCAAAGAGCAGCGTGGGTTGCAGCGATGCCCAGGAAGGGGCTGGGGCAGGGTTGATGCATCAGCCCCTGCCCAGTGGGAGAGCAAGGGGGTCCCGTGCAGCACCTCCTCTGTGCCGAGGAACTTGTGCACAGGGCGAGAAGGCAGGATCCAGCCATGCACTGAGTCTAGTGCAGGATCCAGCCGTGCACAACAGAGTCCAGCACAGGATCCAGTCCCGTACGCAGTCCAGTGCAGAGGAGCCATCGACTTTTTAAAATTCAGAGCAGCTAAGAGGTGAAGTCTGGTACAGGTTAACTGCATCTTCCCTACGCCAGTCTCCTCGCCTGCTGTACTATCGCTCTGATACTGGGAAGCAAAAACCAGACCTACCAACACAGAGAGCAATCGTTCAAAGGACATTCTGGAGACAACCTCCCAGAGCTGCTGCCTCCGCACTCGCCCTGCGCTGGAGCACCCCTCGGCCAGAGGGACCCTCTGTCAGGGCAGCTTCAAAGCAAATTGTTTTTTTTCACTCATCAATAAATGTAACCACTCATCAATACATTTAACACAAATTCAAATATTGTCTTTTCTTTCTCACTCCTCATTTAAACTCTAATCATGACAATTAGCAATGCAGACTGGAAAACTGAAAGCACGGCAAAGCTGCACTACACCGTCACCAAGCCCAGGCTGGGGCCGTGGCTGTCACTTGGGTCCCTCTCAGTGGGCCCAGTGTCACCTCTCAGCTCAACCCCAACACCCACCCTGTTAGAAGCGAATGATTCACCAGGTGGAAGTTTTGATTTCAGATGAAGACAGCAGAGCGTTGCAAAGGCAAAGAGGTTTCCTGCTTTACTAAATGAGCTCAGGGTGGCACAAGAGGCTTGTTCTTCACTCCCCTGGAGATTTTGCACAACCAACGAGTTAATTCTTAGCTTGAGGCTTTCCCAGACCTATTATTCTGTGTAGCAAGACATTGTTAGCTCCTGCGAGGAGTTGGAGGAAGGAGATGATTAGTTTCTGGGGGCGACACTACCAGCTCAGCTCTGCTCCAGCTGAAACCTGGGACAATGAGAGCTCAGCTCAGCTGAGCTCAGCTCACCCCGCAGGTTCCTAGTGCTGCGCAGGACTGGCTTTGTCTACACAAAGAAGTGAGTTTTCTAACGGGAATCAGATCTCTGTTCTCTACTTATATAACCTTTTTCCTCTATAAAAGGCTTAGCCGAAAAAATAGGTAAAGAGAACACACTGTTGGCAGGAGTGAGCGTGTTTTGCTGGAGCCTGGTTTGGCTTTGCAGAGTCGGCACTCTTTAGTTTCATCCCTGCCTGTGCCAACAGCATGCGGCAGCCCCGGATATGTGGCTCAGAGCCTCTCCTCTGAGCTGGCAAAGGTGATTTCCAGGGGTGAGGCCAAGCCTCTCCAGGCATTTAGAGGACACCCGCTAGCCAAGTAGCAGAGTCACCTACCGGCAAGGCCAGACCATCACCCGGCGGGACGTGGGCATCTCAAGTCAGGGCAGGCAGCTGCGGGAAAAGCCCTCTGCTGAGCTGCAGCACACTGCAGACAACAGCAGCACTGGGAGCACCTCCCCAAACCCAGACACCTAGGTCGGAGAAGTTAATTTAGTCCAGATGTGGCTATTTTACCCCTGTACTCCCCTCTCTTTGGAAAGACACAGCTAGCAGAGCCCAGCTCCCCTCTCTCTTCTCCTCCTCCTCTCCCCCCCTTTTGTGCATCCTGAGTTTCAGGTTGCACCAGATGACCAGCTGCATTAAAGCGACTTGTCAGATAAAAGGACTTTGGATCAATCCATCTGAGCTCTGCTTGAGCAGGCAAGTCCTACACGATAGTTATTCCCTGCTGAGCTTTTGGGGTGTTACTGAGACTGGCCACCAGAAAGCACGCTGTGGTTTTAACTGGCGGCTGTGTTCCAGCATGGGTCTGTATTAACCTGGTCGAGATGAACCTCCTCTGACAGCGCACTGGCATGGGCAAAGCCACGTCGCCATCTCTGCTGGGCTCTGGCTCACCTGTGCTGCCTTCTGGCTCACCTCATGCCTGCGCCATGAGCTCCCTCGCACTCCCTCGCACACCCTGCAGCACGATGCCTACCCTCGGGCAGCGCCTGTGGGTTAGGGAGTGAGGGGGACGCTGGCCCGGGGGCTGCATGCCACTCGTGTGCAAGGTGGCCCGTCTGTCCTGCGTACTAAAAGCAATGGAGCCACTTAGTGCGTAAGCCCCGAGCGAGGCATCTGACCCCTTTGGATTTCAGCTGAGGCTCCAATTAATCTGGTAATAAACAGGGCCCCCGTGGAAACCTGGAGCAGCAGTTGCACAGGCAAATACAGTAACCCTCTGTTTCTTCTTTTGCTTCAAATAAGAAGTCAAAACTCCACCGATAGTTCACCTAAAAACAAAATTAATCATGATCATCACTGAGGAAAAGCTAAGCTAGCACAAGCAGAGAACTGAGCTTTGCTTTATATCGGAAAAATCAACTCTGCAATCCGCTCTCAGCCCAGAGGTGCAGGAGCCTTGCAACCACAGGCTAAGGAGCAGGAATTACTAGTCTGGTGCCAATTTCCCCCGCGAACTTGAGTGATTTGCTTTTCTGCCTCATTCCTCCTATTTGTAGTGAGGCAACAAAACGTGTTGCTCTTCCTCACGGTTGAGGTACAGATTAACGAAGCGGTTTTGGCAGCGTGCTCTGAGCACCAGCACGGGCCCTGGCAGCCCCAAGGCAGGACGGGGGGAAGCTGCTGTCTGCAGGGTGGCTGGGCCCTGCTGTCCCCAGACCCTGCCAGCACTGTCCCCATGGCCACCGGGCAGCAGGGCCACAGCCGCCTGCTCCTCCATGGGATGCCCAGACCCTCCCCAGTCCTGGCGCTGGGAGCAGGGGGGCTCTGCCAGGATTGGGGTCACAGCACTCAGGCAGTGCCACCCAGTCCCCGATGGCGGAGCAGAGCGGGTCTGAGAACGAAAGCACGCTGCTGGGCAGGGCAGGGGCTCGGGGGAGCTATTTTTGCTTCCCGGCTGAAAGCTTTTGTGTGGCTTTGCTCCTGCTGCAGATGCAGATCTGGGCTGCTGAGCTCATGGAAAAGATTTCTGAGCACTAATTCTCTGTTACACAACAAACCTATTTTCCTCCGACACTGAGCAGGAGCTGCCCTCCCTGTGCCAGCTCCCTTTACCAGCCCTCCTTCCTGAGACCCTTCATCAGCATTCTCTCCGTGGGGACACAGACCAAACAAAACCCAGAGATGGCCAAGAAGGGCTGCACAGCCCACAGGGTGATCCTGCTTCTCAGGGAGACTGGTGGCCTTTCCACCACATGCTTGGAAAGCAGCAGCGATGCCGAGTCTGGCTGGGTCTTCCTCACTGGGGCTTCCCCAAAAGGCAGCAGTGCCTGCCCAAACACAAGGAGTGGGGGGCTTGTTTTGGAAATACATCTGCAATATCAGAGGGTAAAATCTGTAAGCTGTCGGTTACCTTATCAAAACAGCTTTGTGTGCTGCTTATTTCTAACCAAAGCTGAAACTGTTTTCAGTAAAGAAGAAATGTTTGGTAGCGTTGCTGTAAGGCAGTCAGCAGTGAAAAGACAAGAAGGCAAAGGTCCCCCTTTGGGAAACGGGCTGTACTTTGAGCCTTTTGTTTCAGGAGATTGGTAGGTACAATCACAGGTGGCTCCTTAAAAAAAAAAGTGGAAAGCCCAACGCATTTTGCTATGGGGAAATAACTGTAGTAACCCGCAATTGGGTTTTTCTTCACTTTCCCATATGCTTTTCAAACAGGATTACTTTTGCTGGCGTTACCAGCTGCTCCAGGAATCCCCATCGCCCCTTTGGCTTCCCATGGTGCTTCGGACAATGCACGCGATTTCCTTGTGCATGGTGTGCCCGGGTAGGTATCCCCTCGCAGGACCACTGTCCCTCTTAGTGTTGTACCACACAGCTCTTCACATCCCTGCGGAGCCGGCATTTCTGTATGGAAGCTGCTGTTGTCTCTTAAGCCAGCTACATGGCTGGAGATAACATGCACAATGTCACAGATCGCAGGAGCCTCAAATAAAATGGGCAAACAAAACTTAATACGAGAAGCACATAAGTAAAAGCTGGCCCCAAGCAGCAAACTGCATCTATCTAAATAAACATGACTGGGATATGCAGTGCTATCTTCTGCATTTTTATTAAATATTGACAGTTATTAAATGTCTCCATTGGAGGATTCGCCTCCAAAAGCCAATGTTGCTTTTCATTTTGAACTTTGATGAACTGTCTCAATTTCGACTCACACATCTGCTGAACTGCAATTGACTGAGGCTGATGCTTCTGAGAGATGGAGAGAAATCAATAAGGAAATGTCACGGGAGAGGTCAAACTGAGCCGGGATTCACCGCTGGACGGTGTGCTTGCGGAGGGCTGGAGGGACGCAGCGGTACCCAAACAAAGGGAAATGCTGGGGGAGGCTTCTGCTGCTGAAGTGTCAGGAAAATGAATTTTGTTTGCTCGTTAATTGTGTTCTGATTCTCAGCTGGGAGCCGTCACTGTAGGACTGCGAGACACGGTCGGGAAATGTAAGAACAGAAAGGTGTGTTTTGTTAGGATTTGGGAAAACTGCCATTTGATATTTCCGATTCTCCAGTCAGCGAAAGCCTTCCTCTCCATCCACTTTACTCCAGTTTAAAAACAGGTATCAGACTGCAGCTCAAAAGCCCAGAAGCAATAGCTGGTGTGCAATTCCCTATCGCCTCTAGGACCTAAATCTGAAACACACCCAGGTGCTCTCTGCATATAGATTATTAGCGTGGGGCTCCAGTAAATTGCACCCGGTTTGTGCATCTTGTTCTCGTAACATGATCACACTTTGAATACTGAAAATCTCCTTTATTTCCCACAAGATATTGGCCATTTTCTGAAGGAAACTCAAACAAGAACAGGAGACACAGGGGTTTAGCTGTCCAGTCACACAGCACAGCGGCCCTTGTTTCTGCCATATTTCACTGTCTTTAAGGCAGTTTAGGATCAAAGGACCAAAGTTCTTTAGGTCTGTCCCATCTTTGTGTCTTAGTTACAATACTGCGCTCAGCACGGAGCTGCCTTCCAGAAACTGCTAGGGCACAAAGAACAGCAACAGGTATTTACCAGCCCACCCATAAATGCCGTAGCTGTTCATGCCGGTATTTTACTGAGCAGTCGCTGATAAGGAGAATATTTCCAGTAACGACCTCCTGACACATACAGGCTGAGCAGGAACCAAGCTTAGCTGGCTGCCTCAGCAGCAGCTCACTCATCGCATCAGCCCAGCGAGGACCAAGGACAAGCTCCCTAGCTGCCCAGCTTACTCCAAATTTTAAGGGGGCTTTTCTGCACATCCTGACCCCTGCGGCATCAACCACAGTTGACAACAGGACATGGGGCTATTTGGACAAACAGCTTGAAGAAACACAGCACTCCCTGTCTTCTGGCATTGACAGCTCCATAGTTGCTGCGCACCAACATCCCAGTGACCGCTCAGACCCGCTGCTGACGAAACATCATCGTGGGGTTTTTAACATGCTCCCCCAAAGGGTGCGGGGTTGGGACCAAGGGGAAGCTGCTCCTTTCGGGGACGGGCAGGACTGAGGGCAGATGGCCATGGGAACGCTCAGGGGCAGGCACGACCACAGCCCAGCACACCCCAAGGGAGGATGGGGTGAGGTGGCAGGGCAGACCTGAGCCCAGGTTGGTCTCTGCACTCCCTTTTTTGGACTCTTTCAACCCAAAGGGGACCCCGTCCCGGCCGTCCCACTGGCAGGGGCTGTACTCACACTTGGCGTGGCGGTCACAGAGGGCAGAGGTGCGCATGTCGCACAGCCGGATGGTGCCTTTGCTGCTGCTGTAGACAAAGGTGTTGCAGTGGTGCGGGTGGAACTCAGCGGCTGTGATCACCTCCGTCAGTTCCTCCATGTTGGCTGGCTTGATGTCCACGATGTCTGGCAGGGCGAGTCAAGGAGCCCCACGTAGCCTGGCCCAGACCCCGCTCCTCCCGTGGGGTCTCCTCCCACTGCCCCTCCTGCTGATGTCTCTGGGCACCCGGGCTTCCCCTCGCCCCTGCAAACCAGGTGTTCCCAGGAGAGCAGCACCATCCTGGGGCAGAACCGCAGCGCCGAGCCGGGACCAGCCAGCGCAGGGGAAAGCCAACATCCGTCACTTTTTCTGTTCAGCCGGGGACCACAGCTCTGGTACCATGGCCTGGACCCCTCTGCGCAGCACGAGACCTGACTCTGCCCATTCACCCCAGGCCAGAGTAAATGTCTTTTATTGCAGCATCGGGGCATGGTGAGTAGCTGCACCAAAAACAACGGAGAGGAAACAAAACCCAGAGCCCAATGACCAACAGAAAACCACCTCAGCCCAGGCGTGGCTGCCTAGGGATGTGTAATTTCCAAAACATTTCACGTGCTTGGGCTCAGTGAAATGCTGGGTTGAAAACCGAGCTGCAGACCCTGTCCCCAGACCCGGCGGATGGTGCCGGCAAGGACCTGCACAGCCCCACAGAGCACCCCGGTGCCGCAGGGGACGGCTGACAAGCGTCCGTCCTGGCCTGACGCCAAGCCAGTGGTCACTGGTGGAAGTGGCTTCAGATCTTACAGTGCAATCCAGACACGCAGCATGGGACGATTTACCCACTGTGCAGAGGGGGAAAAAGAAACAGCAGCTTTCCTCACCCCCTGGAAAGCAAATTAAGATCCTGCTGTTCCTGGCAAGACAGGAGTTTAAAAAAAAAAAAAAGAAGAAGATACGAATTTCTCACCCATGTGAGGTGTTTTACAACAGCAAGCATTCCCGCAGAAGAAGCCGCCACAGTTCACAGCCACTGAGTGGTTTCACAGCCTGGCCGTGCTGTGGGTCCGCAGCAGAACCTGGATCCCAGTCCAAGCCAGACCTAAACCCAGCACACGGCCCTGCGGGACAGCAATCGCTCCCTCCCAAACTGCCACGAGTCTGGATGTATTGGTGTTTGTAAGGCATGCTGACAGACTGCAATGAGAAGCGGTACAGGACAGCACTGTGTCACAATGCTGCTGCGCTCCCCATGGTTCTGTAGCGATCCTGCACTTCTGACCCGCAATAACATCTCACGACAGCCCCGATGCTTTGCTCAGCAGAGGTTTCAAATCCCATCAAACTGTGCAGCGGGTGGGTGACATGCACAAAACTAAGAAACTCCAACCCACAGCACTGCCTCTTCTCAACTCTCAGTGAGGCAGGGACCAGATTTGTTTTTTGTCAACAAAAGTGAAAATCAGCTATGTACTTCTCACCACCCCGGGCAGGCAGGCGGTGATGCCGTGGCTCTCCTCCGCGCCATGCCAGCATCACCCAATGCCCCATCAGATACCCTGCGGAGAGCCTGGCGGGGCTGGTCCCATGGCTCGGCCAAACAGAGCCAAACCGGGGACACCCCGGTAAGGGGCTCCAAGGCACTGGGCAGAGAGGTGACACCCGACACACCAGCAAGCCAGTGGGATGGGACATCTGAGTGGACATCTCTCTGGTGGTGATGTTTCTCCATCAATTCTTAGCAAGCATTTTGGGTGCTGCACTTGCACCTTGGCCAAACTCCCTCAGGCCACCTAAACTCTCTGAGGTTTTACCCAAATTTAGCACTCCTCAACCTTCTTCCCCAAAACGCAACACACAGTGCAGCCCTGCTCAACCGTACCCACTTCGAGCTCCCACCAGCCACACGCCTGTGACTGCTGAAATCCTCTCCAGCTGCCTAGATTTGCCACATGCCCTGGGGATTTCTCAGGAGGAAATGCTATATAAATATCATCGATGATTAGTGCCCTGTTGTTATTATTTCTGATGTGGCTGTTACAAGGGTGACTGGCACGACCTCATTTGTACGACTGTGACTGGCAGCCTGTCACCCCACTGCAGGGTATAATGGAGACTGCATGATTAATATTTCCTCTCTCCGTCTTCCCCAAGGCATGTGTCTTCTCCATCACCTGCGGACTCCCCTCCCTCCCGCC